AAGTACCTAGCATGATATTTTCAAGTGTTTAGGCTTTGGGAAAACCAAAAGTCGGAAAGTACTTCCATAAACCTTTCCTGAAGCAAAGAATGGGAGAAATAAAAAAAGGAGGAAATGTTGTGGGAGAGAAAAACAAGAACACAATTTTATATTCTAAATCATAACATTCTGCCATATATGCACACATATGAATATGTATATATGTATAACCTTTAGTGTAATATTCTATCACTAGTTTAACAACAAATAAGAAATCACCTCCAAGGAAAAGAAGAAATGGCACTCTTTCCAGGATTCTAGTCAGAGAGTACATATAAATGTTTAATAGCGTTTTGCGTCTGTCACCCCACCCCTTAGTAAATCATTGTATATTTTCTTCTTTTTGCCTATTCAGAGGTTTCCCTTGGAGACATAAGCAGAATGAGTCCACTGGGAAATTGTATTAGTCACAGTCTCTATCCAGCTTATTTGTTTGCACCTTGCTTTCTCCTAGACACTAAATCCTGAACACATCTCTTTTATGCTACTACTAAGGTGATCAATATACAGTAATGGTAGTTGCAGCACTGTGCCAGTTAGGTGAAATATTAGAGATCTGGAAAGGGAAGGGGGAACAGAGTGAGAAAACATGAATTATGCGTAGAAGTCTAAAGATACTTTCCGAAAATCTTTAATCTACTTCTCAGGTAGGCATCTCTGGGTATGTCTAAAAAACAATATATGAAGCAACGTGCCGACACAGCGTTGAACAAACGCAGAACTATGAAAATTTCACTCAAATCCTAGTCCTGCTTCCAAGGGCTATCTCCCAGAAAACCTTCCTAGGAATTTTCAGTTCTCCAAAATTCTCCAGCCTCTTGTATTATTTCCATAGGTCATTAATCATATTCATTGTGCATTTCAAAATTTATATTATCTTCCACTGAAATGGAGCCCTGGTGAAATATTATGTTTTGGGTGACAGTTGATAAAGAGCTGAACCCCATCTTTGTAAAATCACCTTGAACAAAATTTGAACTGAGATAGGACCCTCCCTTATTCCTAAAACAGTTAAATGAGAACAAAACCAAAACAGCAGGCTATTCTCTGAGTTTCCCAGTTTCCTCAGCTGCCCAGGAGCAGCCATCCTCTCTAAAGAGAGGACCCTGTCTCCTTCCTGTCCCCATGAACAGGTTCACCACCACAATCCTACAACTGCGTCCTTCCTTCAAATGATCAAGAGTGACAATGTCCAAAGTAAAAATGTTGGAATATTGGTGTATAGCCTGGCCCTGTGACCAGCCTGGACCAGGCAGTTACACAACTGTCTCACACAACACTTTTCTCAAAGTCCAATAAAGCTAGGTGGGGGACATCAAAAGTGCATGCAGGGCACGTAGGGCTGTGCCAGTCTAAGACTTGTTCATTCCTTCCAGTCTCTGTTCAACAAGGGTTCCAAAACATCTTGGTATCTAGTTGCAACCAGAGTCACTTTATGACTACCACAATGACAATTACTATTCTGTATTAAATGCCTAGCGGTGCACGAAAAAGGAGGCCTGGTTGCACGGTGGTTAAGCAGTGGTCTGCTAACCAGAAGGTTGGTAGTTTGAACCCACCAATCACTCCAAGGGAGAAAGATGTGGCAATCTGCTTCCCTAAAGATTACAGCCTTGAAACCTCTATGAGACAATTCTACTCTGTTGTATAGGGTTGCTATGAGTCAGAATCAACCCGATGACAACAGGTTTGGTTTTTTGTTTTTGGTTCATGGGATAGTTTCATGGGAATTAAAGAGTCACCTCGAAAGACACAGAAGCACATCAACCCCTAAAAACTATCACCAATTATATCTCAGGAGGAAATAAAGAAGTGCGAGGGAAGAAGAAGAAAGAAAAATGAGAAGGGACAACCAAACCAAACCCACTTCCGTAGAGCAGATTCCGACTCACAGCGACCTTATAGGACAGCCCCATAGGGTTTCCAAGGCTGTAAATCTTTTCGGAGGCAGACTGCCCCATCTTTCTCCGTAAGAGCGGCTGGTGGGCTTGAACCACCAACCTTTCGGTTATCAGCCAAGCACTTAACCACTGAGCCACCAGGACTCCTTGGGAAGGGGCAAGGGGAGGGGAAAAGAGAGCTGCAAGAGCAGATAGGTGTTGGTCAGGCTTGTGCTCCTGCCTCGCTGTGGCTTTTTATTATTGTTGTGTGCTGTAGAGTCAATTCCCTCCCATAGAGACCCTATAGGTCAGAGTATAACTGCCCCATAGGGCTTCCTGGCTGTAACCTTTATGGGATCAGATTGCCAGGTCTTTTCTCCCACTGGTGTGTTCGAACTGCTGACTTTTCGGTTAGCAGCCAAGCACTTAACCATTGTGCCACCAGGGCTCCTTGGCTTTTTATTATTAGGAAGTTAACGTCATGTTCACCCCAGCTGCAAGAGTCACTCAGCACCTCAAGATCAACATGCCTTGAATGGAATATTTTTTAGATGCTGAAGCTGCATATCTGGGTCAAGGGACAAGTTTGCACTCATTGCCTCTATTTTCTCAACTATCTCCAGTAAATATTTATAATTTTTGTGAGGAAAAAAATTAAATAGAACTCTGAAAATGTATCTGCAGTATGATCCAATTTCATGTTAAGAATACATAGATATATGTAGAGTAAAAATTTCAGGAAGGGTATATACTCAGTTTCAAATCAGTGCTTCTCGCCACAGCTGCCACAGTCCTTTATAGAATTCTATTTGCAGCCCTCCACCCTTCACTCTGCACTTTCTCTCTGGAGGACCACATCCACTCCTGTGTCCTCAATCCCACATCCTATTTTCAGCCAGGACTTCTCCTCTGAGCTCTAGATTAATGCATTCAAATGACAACAGTGTGTTCCTATCTCAGTGTCCCCACAGGTACCTCAAACATTATTTTATTGTTGATTTTTCATTTTTTTGTTGTTAATTTGTGTCTTAGGAGGCCCCCTGTGTTACAGAGTAGAACTGCTCCATAGGGCATTCTTGGCTGTAACCTACAGAAGCAGATTGCCAGGCCTGTTTCTTCTGTGGTGCCTCTGAGTGGGTTAGAACCACCCGCCTTTCGGTTACCAGCAGAGTGCAAACCATTTGGACCACCCTGGGACCTTTCAAACTCAATTTCTTTTAAGACGGATTCATCCTCATTCCTTCCCAAATCTGCTTCTTCCACCTAACAATAGGAGCAAGGAAAATGTTAATTCCCTTTCCCCTCACCTCCCCTTAAAACTGGTGTAAAATGAGTCCCCACTTGTGCATGGTTCAGCAGGGTCACCATACCCAACAACTTTAAACCAACCAGTCTCTGATCCCTTTGACATTAGAGTATCTAGGGACCTGGAGCTAAAACCAGTATTGAACTAGCCAGAAGATTTAACTCTTTCCTGGCGTCGTACAATAAAGTAGGATACCATTATCTGGCCTTCCAAACCAAGTAGGACTATGTTGTGGAGGTTGGTGAGATCATGTGTGCGGAAACACTTTGACTCTTACAAAGGAATAAAAACCGTATTGCTTTGAGAAACGATTTGAAAGGTTGCCTTGCAGGAATGACAGAACTCTACAAAGTAGTCACTTAATAAATGCTAACCTTTATTGTTGTTATTTTTTATTAAATGAAACTGACACATGGCAGAATACCCCAGCAAAACAAAGGTTAACCAAAAAACTATCAACCCTGCATTCTAAGGAATTAAGGGTGTTCACTTTTCTTGATTAACGGCTATGTGCCAGAACATTGTAACTACTTTGCATGTATTACTTCATTTAATCGTCATGACTAGGCCCATCTTCTCCACTCATCTGTCATTTCAGAGAGGAAGCTTCGACCACATTGAATTTCCAATCTAAATGTTTTTCCACTCGGTACATACTCCAATCAATCACCTGCTTCATTCCCAACACTTTTCTTTTTCAAAAATTTCCTAAAAATCAATGCTCATTATAGATAAATAAGAATATATAGATGAATAAAAACTAAAAAGGTAAAAATCACTCATTTTCTACCCAAAGATAAGACTGTTTGGGTATCTGTATTTCCAGAGTTTGCAATGTCTACTTAAACATGTGATTTATTATTCTCAAAAAAAAAGTGGAATCATACGATGATTACTGCTACCTAACCCTACCTTTCTCACTTAACAATGCATGGTGAATATCTTATCCTGGCAATATAGATTTCCATCAACATATTTATTGTATTCTACTGTGTGAACATGCCATGATTTATTTAACCAACCCAGTGTGCTAGACACTTAGTTTGTTTCCAATTTTTACTATTTTAGACAGCCCTGGGATGAACAGCCTTGTACATACACTCTTTGGCCAATTATTCAATTATTTACTTTGGACAAATTCCTATAAGTCAAAGAGTTTACATATTTAAAGCTTATACTATATATTACCAAATGCCCCTCCACAAACCTGGTGCCAGTGTAAACTCATTCCCACTGCCAGAGTTTGAAAGTGTCCATTTTGCCACGCCCTTTCCAACACTGCACAGTAAGAGAGAGATTTTTATATGGATCCCAAATATTCTTTCTAGTCGAAAATATTTAGTGGCTCTCAGTGTTCAATGAGATAATATTCAAACAGCTTTCCACTAACTGGCCTCACCTGGCTCTCCAAATGTATGTCCTACTGCCACCTCCCACACTCTCCATTCTAGGTAGATTGGTTTCCTCACCGAAACAGGGTTTATCTCTATGCTTTTCTCACACCATCCCCTCCTCACTCCTATCTCATGGAATGCCCTAACTACCCTACCTCATTCAGGATCCATTTTAAATGGCTGCTCCTCCAAGAAGCTTTAGCTGACTATCAACACCCACAGAAACCTCTGCCTCCTCTGTACTCTGAGAGCACACATTTAACAATGAGCACATGCTTAAGCTATTCTGTTCTCTTTCTGTTTGTGTGTTTCTTATCTCTCCAACTAGATTATAAACCGAAAGACAAAGATGGTTTCTTTTGTTCTTTCACTTTTTTTCCCTTTTCTTTCCAGCATTAAGACACAATTTTATTGATGAGACACAAATGAAGTCAATGCAAATGACAGAAAGGAGCTCACTTATGATGAATTGGTTCACTGTCACTTATGCAGAGAAAACAGTAAAAATATTTCCATCTAGGCAGCAAGATAAAAAGCAACAAACATGTTTTCAGAACAAGTATAATATTCATTCATCCAGCTTAAACCTGAAGACCAACTTGGAAAATATCAGCGTTGATGATACAATATGATGTTCATTATTCAAAATTGGCAGCTGAAAGGATTCCTTTACCATATAAACAAGGTGGAGAAAAGGAGTAGTTTACAATACACATCACTTCTAGACTGCAAAATCAAGACGTTATTCCTGGCTCTTTGGAAACATATGCTCAGCCAGTTTGGCCATGAATTTTCCAACTTTTACTTTCACCAAAAAATCATGGTGACTTTCTATTCCCAGAACCTTATCAGCACATGCTTGAAATTCTTTAAAAAAGAAAAAAAGTGAACCTTCGCTGAAATGGTTCTGAGTAGGTTCATTTTCTTCCCATTTAAAATTGTCATTTATATTCTCAAATATGATCAAAAGTTTAAGAATAATATCTTGGTTCTCCTTCTTATTAAAGAGGGAACCCAGTGAAGACGGTACTTGGGCCCTGAGCAGTTCTCTAGTCATGGCTGGATTTTCAGCCAGATTCAAAAGGAGTTTCAAAACCTGAAGCTTGGTTTCTTCATTTCCTGCTGAAAATAAACGAAAAAAGTCTGAAATGGAATTAGCAAGCATGTGCTGATGCTCATTAGTAACAGTCATATTTGTAAGCAGTCTTAGTCCAGCCAGCTGCACAGATGAGTTCAAGCGAGACGTGACTGTGTCGTCACACACTTGATTCATGTATATCTTAAGCCTGCGCTGATTTTCAGCATTCACACTCAAGTTGTTCAGAACAATTAAAGCTTTTTCCTTAACTATGGGATCGCGGGTATTGAGAATCTTTGCAACAATTGGGAGACCACCCAGATCTCGAATAATATCTCTGTTAAATGCATAAGCAGCATTGTTACCCAGAGCAATTAAAGCTGCTTCAAGAATATAAGGTTTTTCAGACATTTCAACCAAGCAAAGAACTTTTTGCAGCTCTAGAGGAGACAAAATAGTATCATCTGAATTGGGGGAAGCCCGTTTCTGGACAGCCCGACGTGCCCGGGTGGCCCTGGCCCTGGCCCTGGCCCTAGCTCTGGTCCCGGCCTCAGTCCCAATCCGGGCCCAAGGTGGGTACCATATGACACCCTTGTTCTCACTGTTGTCATCATCATCATCAGACCAGTCGTTGTACCTGCCCCCAGAACAGTCGCCAGTATCATCCATATCCCCGGGCCCACCCTCAGCCATTTTCTCCTTGTTCTGTTTTCTTCCCCTGGTCAGTCTATAAATGCAATAGCAGGCACCAGCCCCAATCACCAGTCCTGCAGTCACCCAGCCTACTTTCCTAGCGTAGCCCATGCAATCGTCCCTGACAATAGCAGGGACCAAGGAACAGAGTAGTCACTCAGGCCGGGGGAGGATGGTTGCGGGCTTGGATTCAAGCCTGTGGAGGGTGGTGGTCTTCAGCCACTTTAAGTCCACAACGGCTGATACTGGAGGTGGACCTAAGAGTGGAGGAATGAAATGGAGTTTTACTTTGCTTCTCTTCTCCTCCCATGCAGAGAGTTGCACTGAGGGACAGGAGAGTAGTGACTGAGTGCTTGGTGTGAAAGGTAGATTGTTAAACTCTCTCTACTCCCCTTCATTTCACCCTCTCCCAACACAGCCCCCTGCCCCAGCTCACTCCCACCTGGGGCCTAGATAAAAGCAATGGAGCCCAGAGACCCTGCTGGGGCCTCAGCCACCCCAACCTCTGCCATCCCCAGGGAATAGCACCCTTTCACTAACCTCCACAAGACAGGGCAGTTTGCTCCTTCTTCCCTCCCCTGGAGGTGTGCCACGCCCAACAACCCTTCGGATCTGCAGAGACCAGAGCCAGTGAGGACTGAGGGCTCCATGGACAGCTAGTACCCTGTTCCTGTGTCAGCTTTCCTGATTCACAATCCGACTGGCATTTTTTTAACCTCTCTGACCCTCTAGTCCATCCAAAACATGCACATGCCTGCGCCTCTCCCTTAGCCTGAAATGGGAGGGATGAAGGAAAATAAGGCAGGAGCAGATGAGCCTGGCCAAACCTCAGCTGATCTCTGATCCCTCCCCCACTCCGGGCAGCCCCCACACCCACACCGACCTCGACTGATCCAGGGAACCTTCCTCCCTCTCTTCAAGTGGTGCCACCTGCTACAGCAGACCTGCAGGATGACAGATCGAAAACATGGGGACTAACTGCTGGATGAGAGAGGAAGATTATGAACAAACTATCTGATAGGTTTCCCTCCTGCCACCCCCTCCTCCCTCCCCAACGCACGCCATTTCCCCACAGTCCCAGGAGTGCGAAAAACACTCAGACTCAGACCCGAACCTAGATTACCATCTCTGGTTTCTCCCCACCCGCACGCCCGCCCCTCCTGGGGTCCGCAGATGACCTTACCCTCAAATCGACCTTCACCGATCGGGGTTAATTTCGTTCCTCTTCTCTTGCCCCGCGTTGTGCCGAAACCTACGGAAAGACTGGCCACCCGGGAGAGGATCGGACTCGCTAGACACAGAGCCACGGTCAGGAAGCCACAGCCACAGGCAGAAAGACGGGAAACAGCCGCTACTGAGTGTTTGGTGGACGGACCAGTCCCCAGGACATGAAACTCTTTCCTAATTCGGAGGCCCGTTGTCAAAGGTTTCCCACCCTTATTACCTCTCTCAGGGCTCCGCTAACATACCACGTTGCACCTCACCCCCTCCCCATGCCCAGCTTTACCCGCCGGCACTGTCCTGGTGGACTGGGAGCCAACACCCAGGCCACAGCTCCCTTTCCGGATCGCGGGCCTCTGCTCCCAGCAGATTCCCACCTCCGGATCTCTGGGCTCCACCCCAAACACCCCCCTGCTCACCATTTCGCAGCATCTAAACGGCCTGCGGGTGGGACACGTCTTGGAAAGCGGGAGGCAAGGGGGAGAGACGGACAGAGGCGCCCCAGGACTCTCGACGGTCTCCGCCCTACGCCCTCTGCTAACTCCACCTTATGGAATCTCCCAGGCACTGACCTGCAGGAATCTGGGACAATTTCCTTCTCCTCCTCCTCCTCCTTCCCCCTGCAGCAGGACCGCCCGCCCTCAGGGCAGTGGGGAGCTGGTACTCAGACGGGAACAACGACCAGGACTAGAAGGACTTCTGCACACGTCAGCTCTTGGTCACGTGAAAGCTACGTCATCCACCAACTCGGGTCCCCAATTTCCCCTCCCACCAGCAGTGCGGCAGAAGAGGGCCCGCCCCCCTCCTTTCCTTCCCCGGTACCCAGCCTTGACACTTCTTTCCTCCTCGCTAATCCCATCTCCCTGAAGTTGTATTTACCTTCCTCTGACTACCAGGAACGGACAGCATCCTACTCCGGGGCTACTGGCTACTTGTACTTTTTTTTTTGAAATGTTGCCTCTTCCTTCCTGGGCTCCTGGGACGGCAGACTCTCCTTCCACCTCCTCTCCCTCCAGCTATTAATGTCTACCATTTCTTCTGAAATCTAGTCCTAGATCTGAAATGAACAAGCCATCGGAAAAAGGAGGCTTAGGAGTGAGAGTGTGGTTTTTACTTTCTTAATACTTTTTGGTTCTTTTTGTCTGCCCCTGCTCCCGCCTCCAGTCTGCATTCTTTCTGTGAGAAAAAATACACTAAAGCTATTTTCATTTGAGTGGGAAAAAAGGGGGAGTGGGAGATTGACGTTGGGTGATGGCCTCCAAAAGTCTCACATTTTCTCACATTATGGGGAGTGTTAAACAGTTCACTTACAATAATCTTAATGTTTTCTGGACCCTGGCACATAATGCAATCCTGAACGAGCTAATCAGTGTGTCTGAGAATTTGTAAATCTTCTGGCTAGGCCAGTCTTTTAAATAGAAGAGCTACAGACTTTTGCCTGCATCTGTTATCAAGGAACAGGCATCGAGCCCTCAGAAGCCAGAAACACAGAAAAGGTGGAATAGAAATCACAACTTCTTGGTGGGTATCTATAAGATAAAGAAGCATGCACACTGACAGAGTGACCTGCAAAGAACATTACAAAATAGTCTTGGGTAGAAATAGAGAATATCACCTTTAAATGAAATGAATATTGGAGGAACACTGAGAATAAGACAAAATTGGCCGAACTCTGCATCTATCGATTAGTGTGAAACCCTTCCACTGACTGGTTTGATGAGCTCAATGATACATCTATCATCAATTATGTAACTTTTTTTTTAATGGGAGAAGTAATAAAATAATGTCAGAACAGGAAATCTACAGTGGGATGCTCCCTAATAGTTTGAATATAAGGTTGTTACCTGTGTATAACTTTTAAAATCTATGGACAATATGGGAATAAATCAAGAGTCTGCAGAGTTTGGGAACAGAGTTTGGGGATATGAATTTCCAGGAAATTCATACTGAGCAGCTTCTGGGAGGCAGCACCAGGATATGATTGAAATTTAGTAAACAGAAACCACATCAACTATATGATTCTGTGTTTACAGAAATATCATGTGAAGGGGCTTATTTAAGCATAGAAATACATGAAAAGGTAAGTCAGAGTGAAATGTTGGTAGTTTCCAATCCAAGCACTGTCTGGGGAGAAGTCTTGGCTAAGATGAATGGAACATTTAGCTTTCCTTGCCAGAGCCATCCCCATGATGTGTAAGTGCTTCAAGCTTCCTTAGCTGAAAGCTACTTCTTAAGGTGAACCAACTGCCCTTTCTCTGATTGCAGGCTCACCAAGCAACCTTCTGAAGTTGTGGCTTCCTAAGTAGTAGCTTGCCTACATGGAGAGAATCGGCTGACTGACAGAAACCTCTAGTACCACCTCACAGTTGTATTTCTCAGGGTACATTATTCAGCTGGTACTCCTGTTAAGACTTAGCTTCCCTCATGGCCTACTTACAGAGAGAGAATACAGAGATCCATGGGTTTGAGCATGCAAATCTAAATTTATGTAAGTTCCTGTGAATGGGAGTCTTTCCTTGACAGAGGCATTTGTTCTTAGTGCACAGACAAAATCAGGGGTTGATCATGCAACACTGAGGACAAGACCCTGAACTGAAGATACAACCTTGTGGAATCCTGTCAGAGAAGCTAGGTGGCCTTAGGTCAAAGGACAACCCTGTGCATCACTATTTCAGAATTGTACCCCCTTAATGTTAGGTTACACTACAATTAAGATATGCTGTGGTCGATAGGCCCCCAGCACCTCAATCACAGCTAGACAAAGGTTTAATATCCAAAGTAGGTAAAGGGCTCCTACAAATCAACAACATTTGAAGTAGTTTATATTTCTCTCTGGGAAAAGAAAGGAAGTTCATATTACATTTGACATACCTTTTCATTTTCCCCAGCAAAAGGGTGAGCATGTGGCCCAAAACAGGCCAACCAAATGCTCTCTTGCTAAAATTTGAATCTTGAGCAGAGAGATAAAAAGCTGAAAATCATTGGAATTATGGTATCCTGACAGGACCATCCATCAATTCCTGCTACCCAAACCCCTCAGAGCTGACCCTGGTTTTCAACATTCTCTCATTGTTTAAGTTAACCAGGTTTGGGTTATGTTGCTTGCAACCAAAGAATCTTAACTAATAGCAATATCCCAATATAGAAGATAACATCATTTTTCCAGATAACAATCTTCTATAATGTATTTTTCTCGCCCTCTTGAATTCCATCAGTGTTACCATCTGCTGATTCCCTTTTTTGTTTTCAGGCACTGTACAGCAGACCAAATACTGATTTAAGCCAAAACATTCCTTTTGGCTGTGGCTTCACATACTCTTTTGCAGGCTCAGGAACTTTTCACAGGCTTGTTTGAAGAATTGCTTAAGGATTTTTCTTTTTTTGCTTTTGAAATAGTATGCCAGGCACATAACATGCCCCTAAATGAATATTAGCAGGTGTATAATGGAGAGCAAAGTCATTTTTAAATACTAGTTCCCAGGTTCCTTAGTAGGACTTGTGGGTCAGAATGACAAAGAAGTGAAAGAAATGAAAGGGTTGTCACGTCCGTGGGTTTTAGAAAGTTTTAGAGAGTAAATTCAAACCTGTAAAGTTTCTGACAGACTCTGGGAGAATGGGAGGCTGAGGAGTGGGACTTATACATTGAAATAATTGAAGAATGTACAAAGGGGGATATTTTATACTAGTGAGGAGAGCTAAGAGTGAAGCTTTTGTCCTTGAAGCCTAAGTGTTGTGAAAATGAGTCCTTATCATAGAACCATGTCTACGACAATAAGACACCCATCTTTGTTAAGTTTTACATACTTCTTAGTCCTTTCTAGCATATATATTCAAAATCAATAAAATCCACTTATATAAGTATCTAGGAGCCAAAAACTGAATGATGGACAGTTAAATCTGAAATGTCTGTTAGGAAGGCTTCACAAATAGAGTTCATTTGTTTAGGAGAAGTGAATAAAGGGTGATAAAAAGAACAGTGTAAGAAATGATGGGGAAACAAATATGGTAGTAGTCTAGGAGAGGTGGGGTATAATATTGGTTAGTGAGTGTGGATTAGAAAAATTTGGGAAAGACCAGAAAGTGGTGTTATGTTCTTGACTTCTGAATAGTCACCAGCAAAACCCTGTGGGCTCCCTGGCTGGCCTCAGGGAAGGACCTTCCTTACAGAGGGGCCCCTCACAGCAGGGAGCTTCCTGCTAGGGTGTCATATTTCAGCGTTCTAAGAAAGAGGCTGCCTGGAGGGTCTATATTTAGAATATGAGTCTCTGGGCAGGGACAGGTGGGATGTCTGGGGACTAACTTCTGCATACGTTGTCCCTGAGTTCTGGGATTATTCTGAGGGGCTTGAGCGGGCGGTGCAGTGGAATTGGAACAGAAAGCAGGGAATGAAAGGACCTTTTGCTCCTGGTGACTGCTTGGTATCCTGTACACTATCTTTCTGTTTGTAAGGGAAAAATGACCCAGACATCCGAGGGGTGTTGCAGTGATTCACAGTCACCCACAGACCCTCACCACCATCTCCACTGGAAAGCACTGAACACTAAAAAAAAAAAAAAAAATTGCTATGGAGTCAATTCCAACTCATGGCGGCCCCACGTGTTTCAGACTGGAACTGCACTCCATAGCATTTTCAGTGGCTGTAATCTCACTGAAGTAGGCGCAGCACCACTGGGTGGATTCAAACCACCAACGATTCAGTTAGTAATTGGGTGCAAACCGTTTGCAATACCCAGGGATCTAGCCACTGCTATGGTACATGAGTGACCAATACTGGAGATATCTATCTCACCAATGCCATAATAGAAGGAAAATTCCACCAGCTAAGCCTCATTTCCACCAGTGGGAAATCAGGGAATTCTCGAATTTCTGGATAATTCATGTGTTGCACCATGAAACTTCTGAACAGATTTGAAATAAAGCCCTTTTAATGGAAAGCAGGCTAATCTATGAAGTGATTAATTTGTAAGGTTCAGCATTCACCTCAAGGTTGCCAGGTGGTGCAAACGGTTTGCCTTGGACTGCTAACCTAAAGGTGGCAGTTTGAACCCACCCAGTGGTACATCGGAAGAAAAGCCCTGTTGATCTGCTTCCGTTAAGACTTGTTGTTAGTTGCCATGGAGTTAATTCCGACTCATGGCAACCCTGTGTGTGCAGAGTAGAACTGCTCCATAGGGTTTTCAAGGCTGTGGCCTTTTCGGAAACAGATCGCCAGGCCTTGTTCTGAGGCTCCCCGGGTGAGTTTCAACCACCCATCTTTTGGCTTGTAGTGGAACACAGCCATTGAAAACCCTATGGAGCAGTTCTACTGCGCACACATGGGGTTGCCATGGGCCAGAATTAACCACAACAAATAACAGCAGCAAGATTCAGCTGGAGTTAGAGGTCTGCATGAAGTCCATCCTTTGAAGCCAGAGTGAAAGCCATCTAGCAATTGTCTACGAAGATGATCTCAGCTGACATCTAATACCATGAGTTGAGACAGGAGGAAAAGGGACAGTGGTTTACTTATCTCGGATGGTCACAATTAGAACACTGACGTTCTCACTATAGATTCATTTATCCATCAGTTTATAAATCATCTTGAAAGCACACTGGTTTTGTTTGTAAGGCTTTTTAAATTATTACTATTCTAACACATTTAGTATGTAAAAGCTGCTATTGCCTATGAAGCCAGAAGAAAATATTTTCAATGTGGTACAAATTAACTTAACCAAATCAATAAGGTCTTCCAATTAACTGGGAAATTTTGCTTATCTTAGATACCTTTCACTAAAAAGGATTTTAATCCCTTTTTCTCCAAGTGAAAATAGCTTTAGTTGTATTTTCTGATTACAAAATAGTGTTGCTTGAGTCAATAGAAAAAGGGCTGAAGAAATAGAACATAAATGTATCAAAAATATTAATAAAAATCTCACTACTATTTGGGCTTTCTTTTCTGACAACCTCCTCCCTCCCCGCCCCCACATTTGGTGCAGAGACTGGATGGAAGAAGAGGCAGAAATTAAGGAGAGGGGATGCAGAAGTTTCAGAGCCTAGGAAAGGATGAGACAACTCCCCAAGAAGTGTAAGTGAATAGTAGCCCCAGGAAAAGATGCTACCCCTTCCTGTAATTGTTGTTGGGTACCATCGAGTGTTTCAGACACATAGTGACCCCATGTGACAGAGTAGAACTGCCTTATAGGGGTTCCTGGGCTGTAATCTTTACAAAAGCAGATCAGCAGGTCTTCTCTCTCACGGAGAGGCTGGCTGGGCTTCAACCGCCAACCTTTCGCTTAGCAGCCAAGCGCTTAACCATTACGCCACCAGGGATCCTTTCCTGTAATTAGAGAAAAGCAAATTCAAACTTCAGGAAGGCAGGGCCGCTTCTGATCACTGGTATTGTTAAAGAGGAAAAGAGTGACAGGGCCCAGTGTAGTGGGAGGAGGTACAGTGCAGACTGGCGCCTGCTGCACTGCTTGTGGGAGTGGAAATTGGGGGGCAGAGCTCATTGGCGACGTGGTCGTCACGTGACCAAGGGCTGCTTAGAGCAGAAGTCCTGCTAGTCGCCTCCGTCTGGGTACCAGCCCCCTATTACTCTGCGGGTGGGTTGAAGGAAGAAGGATTCTCGCCTGGACCCTGCAGGTCGGTGTGAGGGTGGGCACTGCTTTGAAGGAGGTGGGGAGGTGAGAAGGCCAAGAGCGCCACGGGTTCAGGTTCCTTTGGACCGGTCGGGCTGTTGTCCCCTCCTAGCCTACTTTCTGCATACCCCTTCCCCCTCTTGTCCTCTGTCCATTTTAGTAGAGAAAACTGGCGGGTTTCGGATGGGGGTGGGGGGAGTGAACAGCGGTTCTGGAGACTTGGAAGGAAAGAAAGGTTCCACAAACAGGGCACCCGTGTCCCATGTCCCTGGTGCTGATCCGTCCACCAAGCAGCCCAGCAGTCCATCCACTCTGTTTCCTGTCTCTCTGCAGGTTTGTAGATCTGTTGGCCTGTAGGTCGCGGCTCGAGTCGCGGCGAGGGAAGCAGCAAACTGCCCTGGAACCATACAGGTCGGTGTGACGGCGGGATTAGTCCAGGACCCTGGGTGGCAGGTCCGGGATCTGTGCAGGCGAGATCCGAGTCGCCCTCTCCCGGCAAGGAAAGGGGTGTGGCGGCCTTTGCAGGGGAAATGGCGGACGACGAGGGGGGCCGGGAAAGCCCGCGTTAGCAAAGTCGGGAGAGTGTGGCAAAGATTTTAAACTCATGCTCAAGAATTCAGAAAAGCAGGTCTTGGGACCAGTGTCCTCAGCGCTGATCCATGCACTACGCTTTGAGTTTTCCACTTCAGCCTTTCGGTCTTTCCATCTGTCCTGCCAAACTGTCCATCTATCACTGTGTAGGGAGCACTAACAACAGAACAAGGGAAGAAGGAATTTACCTGACGTCGGTAGAGGTTGGAGGGTGAAACTGACAGGCTGAAGGACTGCCTCTCCCTGGCACCCTCTTGGCCACCTTAGCAGGACCTCAGCTCTAGACCTTCTCTGTGGGGCCTGGAAGAGAAATGGTGGGCCCTGGGGATAGGAAACCCTGGTGGTGTAGTAGTTAATTAAGAGCTATAGCTGCTAACCACCAAGGTTTGCAGTTCGAATCCACCAGGCGCTCCTTGGAAACCGTATGGGGCAGTTCTTCTCTGACCTATAGGGTCGCTATAGGGTCACTAGAAGTCAGAATCAACTTGACCGCAACTGGGTTTTTTTTTGGGGGGGAGGGGGTTTGGGGATAGATAGGGGGTGACAGAAAGGAGCAAAAAAATAGCTTGCTAATAATTCACCTTTTTCACCAACTCCGTCTGTCTGCTTGGTGAGGCACAAACCTTAGCCCAAAACCCTAATACTCTTTGTCACTCACAGATTCATCACAAGAGGCTTGAAGGAGCCTAAGAAAGGCTGAAGACTGCCACCCTCCACCACCACTTATTTTGGCCCTAAGAGGCCTCTTCAATCAGGCTGAGCAAGGTGTTCTCCTATCTTGTCCCAAGGCTGCCATAGACTTGAGTATGGGTCGTGCTCGGGAAGTGGGTTGGATGGCAGCAGGACTAATGATTGGGGCTGGTGCCTGCTACTGCGTTTACAAACTGACCATAGGAAGAGAGGATAGTGACAAGCTGGAGGAAGAGGAGGAAGAGGAAGAATGGGACGATGATGAGGAACTGGATGAGGAGGAGTCCAAGATGTCGTTTGATTTCACAACTATGGCTCGGCCCTGGAGTGATGATGAGGATTGGACCGAACCTGGGGCCCCAGGTGGCAACGAGGACAGGCGCTCAGGTGGGGGCAAGGCCGACCGACCACACCCTACAAAACAGCGTCCATTCCCCTATGGACATAAAAACACTTGTAGTGCTCAAAGCTTTAAAAATGTCAGTTGTGTTCTTGAGCTCTCCAAGAGTCCTTTCATTCAGGTAAAAGTGTTGTTTGCTCAGCCCAAGGATGCTGGTTTTTCACATAGCCACAATATCGATAGTCATTCGGCCAGCCTCTCCATTGTTGGAAACATGATCCCCACTCCCGACCTGACTGTTGAGGAGAAGGTTTTCTGTGCCCTGGGTGACTTGAACGTGAGTGCTGAAAATCAGGGCCAGACTGAGATGTACATCAACCAAGTGTGTCGCGAGACTGTGTCTCGTTGCTGCAACTCATTTCTGCAGCAGGCAGGATTAAATTTGTTAATAAGCATGACAGCTTTTAATAACACGATTGCCAAGTCTGTTTCAGACTTGAAGCTTCCTTTGATATCAGAGGGAAGTAGATGTGCTAAGGCTCAGGTTTTGAAACCGCTAATGGGTTTGTGTGAAAAGCCAGCCTTGGCAGGGGGGTTGCTCGGGGCCCCCATGCTGTTGTTATTCATGCCCCTCTTTATCAGAAATGGAAACAGAGAGATTCTCCCGGACACCCTGGCCCCTTAAATGGCCATCCCAAACAGAAAGGGACTGAATCCACCCAAAACCCGTTTGGTGAACACTCACCTGTGTTCTCACTCAGGGAACCTGCAGTGGGTGCTGTGGAAGATCCAGCCTTAGCCAATCACCGCATCACTGGGTGAAAGTTACAGTTACTAAATCAGAAACCACACTCTCCCTGGCCAGGCAGGGGTTCCCACAGAACTCAAGTAACTTCTTGGTTTTACAAGTCTGCAGGCAATGCACATTGCATATCCCTCCGTTGCAGCCTTCTTGTGGTGAAGGGCTCATTGCACCTGCCAGCTGTGGGTAAAGAACATCCTGTTACAGCATCACAGAGCGATGTTGTCTCCTATGGTGGTCTCCCTGTTTAAGCTGGACCATTCTGTGGAGGCCAGACTTGTATCAGAGCTTGCGCTGGAAATGCATTTGTTGCTGCTTGGATTGAATTCACTTTTTTAAATCTACTCTTTCTTCTACACAAGCTGACTATTCATCAAAAACCTATTCATACACTCCCCATTTATCAATTGTACCAACTTCACCTCACTCACCCAAGTCTTCATTTGTGTGTATCATCAATAAAATTGTGTGCTTTGATTGGCAAAAAAAGGTGACATGGTCCTTGTCCTTGAGTTGGCAGTCTGTATAAAGAGAAAGACCAACACACGCACTAAATGCTAACCAGCCGGGGCATTGGCTCCCTGACAAAAGCACGCTCACCGATGCTCACAGGAGGCAGAGGCTGAAGTGGGCTGCCATGTTCAGTAAAAGCTTCAAGAAGCGGGGCGTGGACAGGGCTGAGGGATGAAGATGGAATGTGGAGAGGACTAAGACACAACACCCGTGAAGCAACCAGCACAGTGCCTGGTGCAGAGAAACCCCTCGATCAGGGTGCATGCCCCTCCTTCCTTCCTAGACTGCCAGCCTAGAGAGGAAGGTCAGTATCTTTGGGGCTTGTCTCCCCATCCCAGGGGGCACCCTGCCACGCATCTGTGTGCTCTTAATGCCTAATTATAGCACTAATGGTTGCCATTGGCTGAGTGCCCACTCTGTGTAGTTCTAGCTCTCCTGCAAAGCAACTGTTAAACCCACTTCCAGCCCCCCTCCCTTCCTTGAGGTCCCCCACAAATTCCTGGCAGAAAGGGAAGGGTTGGTGCCTGCCTTTTTTTGGAAGAACCCCCTTTGTGTTCTATTCTCCATCTTTTTGGTGAAATCCTGGAAGGGGGCCATGGAGTCCTCCAGTAACTCCCTTTAGGGGTGATAGGACCAATGCTTAGGGTGATTGGCATGGCTGTGACCTATCCCTCCATCCCAGAGACACCTCTATCCCCTCCATCCAAGTTCTCAGCACCCCTTAGAGATAAGGGAGAGCCCATGTGCACCAAACCCCTCCGTCTTAGTTATCTATTGCTGGTATAGTAGAAATACCACAAGAGGATGGCTTTAACAAACAGAAATTTATTCTCTCACAGTCTAGGAGGCTAGAAGTCAGAATTCAGGGTGCCACATCCAGGAGAAGGCTCTCTTTCTATGTTGGTTCTGGGGGAAAATCCTTGTCATCTATCTTTCCCTGGTCAAAGACCTTCTCAGTGCAGAGACCTTGGCTCCAAATGACATGTCCCCTCCTGATTCTTCATTCTTGGTGGCAAGAGGTTTCCATCTTCTCTGCTCGATTCTCTCTTTTATATCTCAAAAGAGATTGACTCAAGATACAACCTAATCCTGTAGATTGAGTCCTGCTTCATTAACACAGCTGCCTTTAATTCTGCCTCATTAACATTGTAGAGGTTAGGATTTACAACACACAGGATAATCACATCAGATGACAAAATGGTGGACAACCACGCAATACTGGAAATTGTGGCCTAGCCAAGCTGACACACATTTTGGAGGGACACAATTCAATCCATAACACCCTCCATGGGTCTGCGCAGCTCATTCTGTCCCTTCCTCCTCCCGCCCCACACCGCCCCCCACCAGCAGACAGCTCCCGCATCCACTTTTTCCATTTGAGCCTGCTTTGCCAGTGCTGCTCGGCGTCTTTAATCTCAGTACAAAAGGAGAGGATTTGCTCCTTCCTACTGGCTTGTGGTCAGAAATTCACACACGCCTCCCTACTCCTCTGCACACCACCAAATGCCCATTTGAGTACTGCTACAGGCAGTTGTCCACTATCTCCGAGGCACTTGATGCTTTAATGCCACAGCTGATGCCTGACACAGGGAGGGCCTCCAAGACTTTCTGTCCATCACTCCAGGAGCTCTGTCATAAGGAAGCCTGCCAGCATCAAAGTGTCTCCTTGGTGTGGCCTTGGCTCAGTCAAAATTCTCTTCTGTATTCACTGGCACTGCCCTTCTGATAACACTCCCTGTGTCTGGAAGCACATCCCTCTGTTCCGCCCTTCATCCCTTGATTGATTGCTGTGCTGGGTATGTGTCCAGTTCCCAATGGATTCTGCCTAGGTATAGAGGGCAAAAGTGAGCGTGCCTGCCACTCAGGGCCTGGTTAAGACATCTAGAAGCTCTAAGCACTGGAAAGACTATGGTGCCCCCACCCGTACCTAATTCAAAATAAAAATAGCACTGAACCATCATCAAGCACAAAATTTACTTTTACGCTGCAATTAAAAGAGATCCTTTCTGGGGTTCCCCACTGCAAACGTTTTGACAAGGTCACCAAACCTGAGCTTGTCACATTCTGCATGTAGGTGCCCCGGCCTTGACAGTGGAGCCCCAGCCTAGGCTGTCTGTTGCAGAATCTGGGGCTGCCTTCCAGCTCCAGAAAGGCCCCTGGTTTTGCTTTTGCTTCTTACTCGTCTCAATATTACGTTTACATTTGGTGCCTGTAGGTACTGGTTTACACACTAAATCCCAGAGCCCTCCCTAGCCCTTTCATGACCAAATTATTTTTTATACATGTCGCCTTCAGATGGCCACACATACTATAAACTGAACACTAACATCTCAAGAACCATGAGAGTCAATGAATATAAGTGGGACTTGTGTTTCCCAGTGATCAGATGACAGCACATACTATAAGTGGGGCACTAACAGCCCAAGAAACTCAAGAGGTGAAAAATGTAACTGGGCCTGCTCTGGTCCATGAAAGGGCTAGCCTGCTACCTCTCATGGGGATTTTGTGGTTCAAAGTTCACCAAACCCAATAAGTGCACCCAAGTTTATAGATACCCAGCTTCCCAGCTGATGCATCCATCCTCATCAGGGCCCTATGTGCCATTCTCAAAGCAGGTTCAGTTACAGTCCTCTCACTTTGAAGTGCCACCTGTGTCTCGGCACAGCTCTACCCAAGATAATATGTACGCTGCAGCACCATCTAGCTAAGAGTTTGACAGCTGTGGTGAGGATTTGCTCCTGGGTCCCTTCTAGGGGGTCCTGTTTGGTCTCAGATGCAGATGGTGCTGCACCAGAGTCGACCACAGTCCTGCAGAGAGCACTGACCAAGCCCTTGTGTTTTGCAGATGCTGCATGTACCTTCTCACAGTCTGTCACTTCCCTCCTCACTTTGTCCACGGCCTCCTTTTCACCCTGAAGGCTCATTTTTCCATTATTGCTGCTTGGCTTTTTGTGTGGCTTAAGAAGGCCTTCCCCCACCCCAGATTATAAAAATAAGTCTCCTATACAGTTTTCTAATTCTTTCCTACCTTTCTATTTGAATTTTTGTCTCATGTGTCTACTTGGAATTTACTTTCGTACAAGGTTGGGGGAAGGGAGCTAGTGATCTAATTTTATTTCATTTTTCCAAATGAATAACCAATTAACCCAGCACCATTTATTGAGTATTCCAGTCTCATGCTACTGTGTGGCATATCCTAGGATCCTATGCCCCCAGTCAGGCATCCCCTCTGTCGTTTCCTGGTGTTGGAGACCACCCTGCGGCACACCCCTTTCCCCCATGAACCTCTAACTGACTTGGGGAACCTTGCCTCACTGAGTGGCCTCTGGCAGGTGGTGTCTGTGTGGGTAGGGAAGGTGGTGCACCGGCACTCATGAGCAGGCCTCTGCCCCAGCTACCTTCTCAGGATACATTCTGGCTCACATGAAATTTAGGAATCCTCACCCTGACAACTCCAGCACCATGGGAAACTGGGAGCTGGGCTCTTCCCTCCCTCAAATTACTATATTTGTATCAGAGAAAATGAAATTGCTTATCTAGGTATAGGCTTGCTACATTGTCCCATATGGTAGCCATTAGCCACAGTTGAAATGTGGCTATTGTCACATGTTGAACTGATATGTTGCAAATGGTTTCTTCTAACCCATCCTGTGATTTTTCTTTTTTGGTTTTTGTGGTTTCTTTGGTCACCCAGAAGTTTTAATTTTTCTATAGTCAAATATATCAATTTTTCCCTTAGGGCATTTCTATTTTATGTTTTCCTTAGGATAGCCTTTCCCATCCCGAGATTATGTAGAAAAAAAAAAAAAAAGCAAGCATTTACCTCTCTTTCCTTCTAGTACATTTACAGTTTCATTTTTAGTTAGCTCCTTTGTTAAGCCATTGGTATTTTGTGTGTGCTTTTGTGTGTATACATAATTTTGTCTAAATGTCTAATTAATTATACTAATGTTATTTATTGCAAAATCTATCCTTTATGTTTTGATTGAGATTTTACTAAGTGTATGGATTAATTTGTCAAGGATTGACATTTTTATAATTTTCTCATCTAGGCACATTTATTTAGACCACCTTTCTTTTTTTTTCTTTTTTTTAACCACTGAATAAAGTTATCTTTATAAAGATCTTTTGTTTTCTTTTTTGGCTTATCACTAGGCATTTATACGTTTCTGTTACTTTTGTGGAATGGCATGGTCTTTACCTTCGCCTACAATGCTCTGTTACTTTGACTCTGCTGTCTTTATTTCATGTGCCAGCACACTGGGCATAACTTTTGTTTCTGCTGCTTTAGGAACAGTAGGATAAAAGGAGATTCTAACCAAAGCTCAGAAACACCCCATACCTTAAGAAAGATTCTTCTGGGAGATCTGCTTCTTCATGGGGAAACAGGTAAAGCATCCCACCATCACCCCTCCCACAAAGGAAGGAAGGGGAAAAGGACAAGGCATTTGTTGCTGATGTTCCACAAATGCTCTTTTCCCAGAACTCTCCCTAAAGACCATTTTCCTTCTTTCATTTTACCTTTATATGTTCTTCTTCACCCCGCCCCATCCCTACCAGTGGAGTAATTCAAACTAGTTCTTCTGGTTTATTCCATCATGTTTCTTTCCCCTATGGAAAGTTCTCCTTTAAGTCTAGCCATCAGTATTATATTGTTCTTTGTTCTTGGATATCTGGATACAGGATGATTTTGAAGGAAGGAAAGACAATTTAATGACTCAACTTATTACCACACATAAGCACTCCAAATAACTGTGTGACACACCCCTCTGGATAAATACTTGCATTTTACCAAGGCCAGTGGTTAATGTGTAAATATCTAGCCAGAATTCTGTATTTTTCATTATCCAGGGCTTTAAACTGGGTCCCCAGATGGAGTTGATTACTTTCTCAATTGGGCAGAGGGTGTGAAAGT